CAACCAAAACACCTTTCATCCATATAATAAAGGTATCAGAACATGGAACCACGAGCACACCAATGAACTCCTTACAGGTGTTTGCAGCCAAATTAATGGGATACTCACAGGGCTCTAATTAATGACAAAGGATTTCTTTGATACCTATCCACAAGAAAAAGAATCCAACCTGGAAAAGGACTGCTTGGTGGCTGTCACCTTAATTCCTGTGCACAGTGCTTCATACCCAGCAAGTATGGTCAAATAGATTTCCCCAGGTATGTGAAACTTGATGACTGATACAAACCGTAGCTCTATGATGGTCAGGATACTTTGTGGCATCTTAGATAATCCAAATAACTTTTGACAGTCTAAACAAATTAAAGGCAACCTGAATTTTTTCTTTTTTTTCCAAGATAGGAAATCATAAGTAAAAAAAAAAATCACAATGAAAAATATATCATATTTCCCCTAAATTGCCTTTCAGAATTAACTTAGATCAAGATTTTGCTAATAGAAACATTGCTCAAGAGCCTCTGTAGTTAGGCACATCCTCTATAGCCTAATGAGTATTTCACAAATAGACAACAACCTTGCTGTGAGCAGACAATCTGCAGGAAGACCTGGATTCTTTGGTATGAGTAAGTTTGGGTTTTTTTTCTTTGAAAAGAATCAGTAAGTCAAACCTGAGCAGCCAGAGAATGGAAAAGCTCTTGCTCAATACACAGTCCCCATTTCAAGTACCTGCACCAACAGAAGCAGGAACTGGAACAGGAGGGAGAGGGTCAAGCTCAGCAGGATGGCGCCATCTACATCTCCACCATTTCTGGAAGTTCAGGCATCTCAAGTAACAGACTCTTAAAGGCTGGCAGTTTCTGCCACCAGCAAGTAGACATTAAATCCTTTAACAGGGCACCGAGTACTTTTTCAGTACAAATCCAGATGAATACCCAAGAGACAGTGATGAAAACTTAGTCACAAAGGCATGCCAACACACAATTCTTTTGTACCTCACATCAGCAGCACAAAACATTAGAAATAAGTCTGTTGGAGCACTGAATCCTATGAACAAAGTCAGATAATCCTGCACATGCAGAAGACAGAGGGCTTGAAGTGTACTACAGGAAGGAAGCAATACCCATGATAACTGGCCAACAGCATATAAGCAACGTCTATTTCTTATCAAGTCTGCACAAGCCCAGTTGTGTAATACAATCAGAAAATCATGGTACGGAGTGACAAGCAACTGCTGCTACATATCACTGTGTTAGCTTAAAAGAACAACAGACAGCAGGGTTCAGAACCCTGATAATTTCCCATGATGTCTGAAGAACTTCACTGTTCTCCCTCCAGTTCGGTTTTCTGTAAGGGTATATAAAGTTACATACAACATTATGGTAAAAGAATACTGAAATTTTTAATTAGTCCCTTGTGTCTCAGTGGCATTTTCCACTGTGTGATCTGCATACTTCACTCAATACATAGAGTTGACAGTGCTCAACTAAAACCATGATTTCACCATCATTGTTCAGGACCTTACAACTCTCCACACAATCCTCAAGACCCAGCTCCCATACCAACAAGCTCATGTCAGAGTTTTCCACATCTCTTTGTGTAAGACAGTTTCAAATCATGGAACACTGGTGATCAAAATATGGAGTCTAAAGCTCCAAAACAGTCACTAACTTTGCATCCCCAAACAATTGGCTTCTGAGGCACTCTGTTCATATAATGCAAGTGTAATTCCCATTGCACTCAGCTTTAAGGAAGGCTCCAACACTTCTGGGAAGTAAAGTAAACAAAATTAAAACAAAAAACCAAGCCCAATTTCACATAAAGCATGCATAAAGCACAATTAACAGCCACCTATAAACACTTGCTTCATGCCCCACAGGAAAAAGTGCAAATCATTACCAAAATTGTTTCCTAGAACCTTTCCCATCTCTCCAACTTCCACATTTCACTGCACACCTCCACATCCATCAATACATGAGCTAAGGATCTTGCAAACACCTATTCTTCTGGCCTTGGCAATAAAATACAGTAAGTAATAGAACCATGGCATTTATTCTTCTGACCTAGTACTCCTTTTCCCAGAATCACAGAATGATTTGTGTTGGAAAGGACGTTAAGATCATCCAGTTCCAGCTCCCCTGCCATGGGCAGGGACACCTCACACTAAACCATGTCACCCAAGACTCTGCCCAACACGGCCATGAACACTGCCAGGGACAAAGAAGGAGGAACTGTTGTTGGCCAACAGGCATCATCACAGTAGCCATATACTGTCACCTCCTCCACTTACACATATGCAAGTTCTTTAGGTGCAAATCAAAGAGGTAAAAGCATTCCTCTAAATGGGCAAAAACCTCTGCAATACAAATGCTATTTTGACATTGTCTAAGCAACCTGTGATAACCTAAATCGGGATGTGCTTTTGGGTGCTGATGAGACTCAATTACCGATTTACAGAATTGCTCATGTTTCAGAAAGCCTGAATCAAAATAAATTAGGAAGAATTAGTTATTAGTTATCCAAGAGGCACTGGAAAACTTTCAGAACTGCAATCTTGCCAGAAACTCACTAATGATTGGATACCATAGCACATAATTCTTTAACAGTTACTTTTTTTCTATCAAATTTACTAAAGCCATTCAAAGATGTAATGTTCTAAGAACAGTGATGTCCTAGTTTGGGCTGGGGTAATCTTCTTCACAGTATCTGGTATGCAGCTATGTTTTGGATCTGTGCTGAAAACAGTGTCAGTAATTAAGAGATGTTTTCATTATTGCTGAGCAGTGCTTACACAAACCCAAGGCCTTTTCTGCTCCCCACACCACCCCCACCAGTGAGCAGGCGAGGGGTATACAAGAGGATGGGAGGGCCACAGCTGGGACAGCTGACCCTAACTGACCCAAGAGATTTCCCATACCACATGGTGTCATGCTCAGCATGTAAAGCTGGGGGAAGAACAAAGTGGGATGTTTGGAGTGATAGCGTTTGTCTTCCCAAGTAACTGTTACCCATGATGGAGCCCTGCATGCCTGGAGGTGGCCGAACACCTACCTGACCATAGGAAGCGGGGAATGAATTTGCTTTGCTTGTGTTTGCTTTACCTGTTAAACTGTCTTTATCGCAACCCACTCTTCTGATTCTATCCCCCAGCAAGATGCAGTGGGAATGAGCAACTGGCTGTGCAGGGTTGATTTGCTTGCTGGGATTAAACCATGACAGTCCATTTTGGTGCCCAGCGTGGGGCTCGAAAGGTTCAAGATAGTGACAGATTTGATTGGAATGTGCCAGATCAAATTTATAGCTATTATTGCTGTTTAGCTATTAATTGACAGGCTACTGTGCTTGCCATGGAGCTCACAGTGCTCATTAGTGGCTGCTTTTTGCTTTTGCTGCACACTGTACTGCTTATCACCTCACTCTGCTGTGCCTGGGAACATTTTGATAACAGCAATGGCCATGCGTCTAGGCATCACTGCTAAAAATCTTTGGTGAAGACTTTCAGAACTGTTAGTGGTATCAAGAAAGCTGTAGATAAAGTCAGAATGGTTGATCATAACAACAACTTACAAAAACTGTTTGAACTTCACTTTGATTAACAGCCTGGCTGCAGATAAGAACAGTCACATGACACACCAACATTTCCAGAGCACTTTAACCTAAGTTAAACATCCTCATTTCACACCCAGCACCTGGTTTTGAAGTTTTTACTACATGGTCCCTCTCAATGCAAACCTTCCTCTTCCGAGAGCATTCTGGACAAGGAAGAAAGAACCAAATGAAATGCAACAAAAGCCCCAAACGCACAAAATGCCCACAAGCAATCCAAAAACCCCGGATCAAGCAAGGCAAATTGAAAGATGAGGTTTTCTGCTCAGTGAAAAAGCAGCTCATAGACCACCGACCACATAGGTGGATTTCACAGGATTTTTCCCACTGGGAAGGCAGATTATTTGATTCACAATGTGCCAGGGGTCATCTGTAGCAGAACCAGTCCTCTGAAATGTTCTTTTCAACAATATTATAAAGCTACAGCTTGAGAATTTATATGCAAAGAAGAAGAAAATAGGGTTTCACTGTGCTTTTTCATTCTCATTACACACTAAGGAAGACCTAAAAAGATTTTTGTATAACATCTTCAACTCCCCTCCCCTGCCCTCAAAAGCAGCTGCTAAAATTTAACAGATCATGGATCTAGCTACTGGAAAATACAAGCAACAGATACACACATAAAAACAAATGTCTAAACTAGTTAAGCAGCAATGAAGATGGGATAAAAAGCAGAGTTCTTCGGCATTTCTGGTGCTGTTAAAATTTTTCTCTCTTCAAGGAACCACTTTGATAAACAATTTCAATACACACTCAGAGCTGAACTATACTGTACAGGTATATAAAAAAAATTTATCTTGTTCCGTTCAGTTACCCTTAACTGTATTGTCCCAACATTTCAAGTCAGTAACCCAATTTTCATCATGAACAGCAAATAATCCAGAAAACAAGGAATGGGTAAAACTATCATTTCAGCACAAGCTTCTGGCACTCTACTACATTTGTTCTATCTTGAATTTATGTATTTTGAATTGCTATTTAAGCAAAATAAACCAAGGCCCAGCAGAACACAATTTCCCTTCTAAAAGCAAGTTATAGATGGGTCTATGACACAAAGGCCACAAACCAGTGAAAGCTAGACTGAGATAAAAGGAATGTGAAAGATTTTCAACACACCTATTAAGCTTGATTACAAAAACCAAATACACATTCATACACTTGAACTTCACATGAAACACTTTATACCAGAGCAGTATGTTTTCATGGAGTACTCTATGCAATGACCCTGTAGAACAGATTCCAGTACTGTCAGAATGGAAGTAAAATTTCAGTGAACCTTCTTTGATACTGCCCAAGAAATTGTGTGCAATTCAAACAGGCTTCAACAATATGCATATACATCATAAACTTAACTGGCTTCTATACTCACCACTAATCCGAACACAGAATTAAATCAATACCTTTTGCATTTTCTTTGGATCTTTCTGTGAGTTTTCTCTGAGAGGTACTTTTCCAAACAACTTCCATCCCACATCATTTTGCTTTTCAAATCTTGCACTTGGCTTTCTGGTGAACAAATTCCTACAAAATAAAAGAGCGTGATTAAGAAAAAGGGTTGATTAATTCTAATAAACAGATGGATAAGCAATTTGCTAACCTTATGTATCCCAGTCACAATATTCCAGTTCCTCTTATGGTTGTGCTGGCAGGCACTGTTTCCCAGCCTCAAGAGGTAATGCAGTATCATCACAATACCAGGCAATGGAGTTGGTTAAATAAGAATTTTTAGTAGATAAGAAAGTTCATTTGTAACTTTGCAAAAGTGGCCTTTTTTACCCTCTCTGCACCATCCAGCCTCAGTCTTTCAAAGTAAAACTGAACCACCAAATCTCTTGCTGCATAAACGTTCCCCACCTGCCTGTTACAGCACACTATTACCAAAAATAACAGAAAAGTTGCAACTGTAGTAGCCTTTTACTGTATTTAATTTGTTTTCATAAGATTATTTTTTCTTGAATAACCTTAAAAGCAGCTATCAAAGCATTTATTTTGAACCCTCTCTGAAATGTCTCCAACTAACCAGCTTAAACACTGAGGTAATAGTCATGAAACTAAACATAAAGCCACTGAAAGTTACTTTGCTAGTTTTTAATCATAAAGTAATATGCCAGACTTGCATCTCTGTACCACAACTATGTTCTCCCAAAACTGGACATAAGGTACAGACCAATCTTCATACTTTTGGTAGCACTCAGCTTCTCCAAGAGCACAACCCACAGCATGTCCGGATTATTAAAGTAACAGGTTTTCTTTTGTTGTACTCTCTAGGTCAGCAAATAACCAAGGATGTCCAGGTTAGCTTACTTATTTACACATCTTGAGGCAGGTTTATCTGGCAACCTGACTACAGGCTTTTGCTCCCTCATTTAAAAGAAAACAGAAGCAAACAAACAATGCCACTGAGACAAAAGCATTTTTTGCTACTTCAATCAGGAGGCAGCTATAGCACCTTCATACCACAGATGCTTTCAGTCTGGTATTACTGCTTTTCCTTGCAGTTACTACCTTAATGCCCAGTGCTCTGACTCACCAAGTACAAATTGCTTCTTATACATAAAGCGTGGAAGTTTGGGTAATAAAACTATATCAAGCTTTGTGTTGTAAAAGGGCTGAATACAGATCTGCAACAGGAATGACCTGGACACTAAAAAGGTGTTTTTCTTGGCCACTCTGGATCAGCTAACATGAATAATACCATAAATACACCAAGAGGAATAATATTGTTTGGAGAAATGTTTAATACAAGAAAACCAACCTAGGCATAAATGTTAGAGTGATCTGGAATATATTATAAGGTTCATAGGCTGTACTGCCATCCTTAAATATGCACATATTTACACAAATGATCACATGCTTCTGTATCACAAGGGTACAGTTACCTTGAAACCCAAAACAGGAACAGATTATCATATAAAAAGATAAGGACAAAGTGTTTAGGTACAGAAATCACACAAGTGAATTACAACTGATGTCAAAGCTAAGCAGTAACTATACTTCTACAAAGGCCTTTCAGGTTTCCCCTACCCCACCTCACACAAAACATAAAGGTATAGGGAAAGAAGAATATGGAAAACGTTGAAACATACTGCCACATTTTCCCTCTTTCCACTTGTTTCAAAGCATGAAATTATAATTCTACAGGTAAACTACTGGATCAAACAAAGATTTGCTTTGTCTCTATAACTGGCCTACTCCATTTCAGTATTATGAAGCTCTCCCATAGCTCATCATTACAGCTTCAATGCTACTTGGAGAGGTATAAACTAACTAGGAGATTAATCAACAAGCTTGACTACACTGCCACCACTACAACTGCTAGTGCTGGGAAAAAGAGATCATCATAAAACCAACTTCCAAAAAAGGTATTTCAACTGAATTTGATTTCACCAGCAATTCCTTCACCCTGGCAACATAAAGAACCCATTCTGTTTGAGGGTTTACTACCCATATGGGCTTCTGCATGGAATTATCTTCTTACTCCTGACCAAGTTCATAACATGTATGTGAAACAGCCTGAGGTGATGGATTTATAGGTCCATTTGAGATAGCTACCAGGAAAATAAAATGTAAAGAGAGGCAAACTTGAGATTATTCTATATATACATGTTAAACTAATTTAAAATGGAGAAATATCAAGCAAGTTCTAAAACACATCCAAGAATAAAAAGGAGAACATGACAGGAATAACATCATCAAAAGCACTGCAGGCAAATAGGGTACACAATGCAAGACAGGCTGACTGTTCTTGCAAAAGGTTTTTTTTTCAGGCTGTTATTATTTCAGAAGCAAGCTAAGTTCCAGACTACATACTGCCCTCAGAGAGAACAAGAATTTCTAGCATCAGGGACACCTGAAAGAGATCCATAAGCAGGCACCTGTGTGACAGTTCTGCACATATTCAAATTCTCTTTTGCAAGTAAAAGGCTTTCACCACAGTTCATTAGCTCTGCAATAACAGGAAAATTAAAGGACTAACAGTCAATTTTCTCTCAGTATCTATCCACATTAGAGGTTGTTTGCAAAGGTATATAAAGCAATAACCTCCTCTATCTCCTCTGAGTGATTTTAAGAGCAGCAGTAGGTCTTTATCTGCACAGCAAAATAAAGATGAACTGGAATGATAAGGGGTAATAGTTCTCTGTTACAAATGCCTGCATGAGAGGAACTAAACCTGAAAGGTCAATCTCAGATACTTACTTTCAATTCAATTCTGCAGTCCTAACTATCTGTTTTCACATGAGAGGGAACATCATAATAAGTAATCTGTTCTACAGGTTCTCTAGCAGATGGCACAGCACTTGCTCAGCTCGTTCTTCTCTGTGTATGCGATTTCCACTGTATGTTCTAAGGCACCAGGCATCTCCTCCTCTCTTCGCACTATGTCAGGGATTTTCAGTTGACTTTCTTAAAGTTTAAAATATATATTGAACTCAAAGCAGCAAGAACAGTCAACATAAAATTCCCATCCTGTACAGAGCAACTTGCTCTCCTTTTCCTCTTTTTACCTGCATTGTCTGTGCCAAAGTCTTGGTGTTTTGCAGATGTCCATACTCTTTATGTACTCCAAAAAGTCTCAAAACTGCCAAAAGGCATAACGTTATCAGAAGCCACAAACTGGTACAATCAGATGTAAAACCTCAAACAACAACCCATTCTTGCTTTGACTGAGCGGACACAGAACTGTTAACCCCTGATCTGCCCTGACTGGAACAAGCCAAAGGTAAACCACATATGAGCTGGGCTGGCATGGAAGGACCAGAAGAGATGTTCCTCCCTTTGCACTTGATTTTAGAAAACTTAGGGGAAAAACAAACCAAAACCAAACAAACTGCGGAATATTCTCTGGTCTGGTTTCTGCAAAGCTTTGCAGTAAGTCAGGACAACAACACAGGGCCCTGATAAAGCCACCACTTGAGACTTCTGGACTGAAAATACACCCTTAAAATATGCAACTCCCTTAGAAGGAAGTAATGATTTCTGCCATATGTACATATCAGAGCAAGTAATTCATGGCAAAACTTTTCATTTTCCTGCTGCCACAGCACAAAAGAGAATTCATTTCCATCCAGGCTTATACAGGTTATCAGGATTTGCAAAAAAAGCACTAAGCAGTCTCACTTCTGAGCAAATATAATTCACAAAAAAGACTCCACTCTAAGGGTAATTTAAGAAACCCTTATGTTACTGGGAAACACAGGTTAGCAAGAGCAAAAATGCTCTGTTTGGGGGAAAAAAAAACAAAAACAAAACCCAACCCCAAACCAACCATCACATGTACAGGTCTTCACTCCAAAGACGAGCTCGGAATCCTAGAGTGAATGATCTCAAAGCGGTTTAAGATACAAAAAAAAAAAAAAAAAAAAAAATCAATGCAAGATCTTGAATGTAAGAAGGATTGACATGCCTGGAAAGAAAAGATCACATGCTGATCATTATCTCAGTCTCATTGTCCTCTTCACAACCATTACAGCACATCATGCTGATTTGCAACAGGGATATTAACAAGAATATCTGACAGGATACATCATGTCTGCAGTATTATTAGTGTGGAGCCATTAAAGTGTCATGGGTTACATCTGCATTCCTATTGAAAGTGTTAACTATTTCACAGTAACTCTCTGTAGCTGCTTGTTTTATGAAAGTCAGGCTCATAAGTTAAATTGAGATCAAATTTCAAACTGAAAAGTGCTTTTGCAGAGTCCCCCAAAACAGTATTTGGCACCAAAGAGCTGTTTAACCTTGTTACTTTAATTGAGCTGTGGAGAGGAATTACCTGCCTGAAGAGAATTTAATTCTAACTCCACAGTTAATTTCTATATACAGAGAGTATCCTGTGATACAGGAGAGAGACCAAACAATCATGCACTTGAACATACACATACTGCACCATTACTGTATACTCATCTGCCCAACTGATTTTTTTGTGGGGAAGAGAAGAAGTTAATACCAATAGGCAAGCTCAGCAGTGCCAGGAAAAGAGTTTTTAATAAAACTTCTGAACCACTTCCTTTTGGTTCTATAAGCAGGAAAATAAACTTACTATGAGGTTGTGAGGCACTGGCACAAGTTGCCCAGAGAAGCTGTGGCTGCCTCATCCCTGGCAGTGTTCAAGGCCAGGTTGGACGGCTCTTGGATCAACCTGGTCTAGTGGAAGGTGTCCCTGACCATTGGAGGGGGTTGGAACTGGATGAGCTTTAAGGTCCCTCCCAACCTAAACCATTCTGTGATTCTATGATACACACTTCACATTCAAATATGGCCAGTATTTATGTAGCCTTGTGTGCTGTCAGGGTCAGGCTGAAGCATCACTCAAAATAATAAAAACTAGAACCACATCAAGAAGTAATCAAGCAAAACCTATCTACACAGCCCGTTACAGCTTTTTTAAGCTCGTGGCTTTCCAACAAGGTCCCACATCACCACCAAAGCAGAAACTTTACCTAGTTCAGTTCAGTTCTCCTCCTAAAAAGACAGGAAGTCTGTAACACAACTACCAGCAACTATTGCTGTGTGACAAGTTT